GTTTTTGCCTGTTCTGAAGAAGTATATATCTTTTACTTTGCAGGTACCTAACATGGTGTTGGATCAAAGGCTGCTTGGGAACTTCCTCAATCATTCGACAAAAGACAAATCTAAAGATGAAAACTTGGAGATGGCCACTGATGCATAGAACATATGATTCAGTCCCACAGAAAACAAACTTTTTGTTTTAGTATTGCAGAAATTAGTAGTGGACTTTGGAAGCTTCTCTTGTGGCTATCATTTTACTGCAACCCAATCTCGTTATAAACATGTTTTTTTTGTCTGAAAAGGAATATCATTGAAACTAAATCTTGTTCGTATACTACTTTAACCCATTTATCAGATTCAAAGCTCCACAAAATATCTTTCTCAGGGTCAGGGATTTAAATTCTTCCATTAAAAAAGTTGAAGACAACCTTAAAAGAAAGAAGGTAATGCCAACAGTTTATGAGATTAAGAAACTTCTTTGTGTAAAGATATATTCAAAGAAAGAGAATGAATTTTTTTGGAAAAACTGTCTATTTCTCCACGAAAGTTATGATATTTTCTTTGGGAAGATGTTTAAACCTTCGCCCTTGGCAGGTCTTTGGGAAAACCATAATGATCAGACTGTTCATGACTCTCTCAAACGATCAATTCAACTTTAATATAACACATTTAATTTAAAAAAGATACGGAGCTGAAACAAGACTATCATCCTATAAAGATCACAAAAAGGGAGATTTGCGTGGCAAGCCTCATACATCTCCCTTCATCTTAAGATCCTCGGTGGATGCCTTGTCCCTTTTAATACTTTCTTACTTATTTTCTTCAGGCTGACAAGTAAAAAGAAAATTAAGGAAGCTAAACAAACTTGGCCAATGCTTTAGTCATTTATATATTGATCGTGCCTACAATAAAATTGATTTTTGAACCAACCTTTAACAAAAGCTTAGGATCTTTTCCAGTCAGTTATATTGAATAAGAATCGTATTTTGCAAACAAACTGCATTAAAACAAGTCAGGACTAATGATAATACCTTTGCACTGGGAACATTCTCGAACATATCTACTGCAGGTTCATCCTTCTTCTGACGTTTTGACCTATGTAAGTGACAGTTAACGTACTGTTGTGGATCTCCTTCCTCTAGTTTTATAGTATAAAAATCAGTGAGGAGATAATGCGGTTCCTTTTCATAGTCAAAATCTTGGGTTTCTTCTGGCTTCTTATCATATGCTAAGAAACATAACCTCGACAGAAACTAAAATATATCCTGGATAAGATGGTAATCTAATCTTTGTGCCATTGCTACTTTTGCATATTATATACATGTGCCCATTAATCCATGTAATAGCGAGCATTACGACAGCATGAAATCCGTCAAACAAACCGAAAGGGAGACCATAAGGTTCATTGTCAGTCCAATTTTCAAAGCAGAACAATGTAGCTCCTATTGGACATCCACCTTTAAGGAGTCTTAAAGCTTCTTCCAAACATCCGATTCGTTCTAAATTTTGTATTTTATAAAGCTTTTCCCCCAGTTGAAGATGTCGGATGTCCATACAATCAAAAGTTTTCTTTCGAGGTTCTTCTTTTGGGATTCCTCTAGTTTTGGCAAACTCAAGACCTTCACGTATTGTTGCACCAAAGCATTTATGCTTAAGTATTTCTTCGCAAAGAAAAATCATGATGAAAATGTTAGAAATAACATGTAGATTTAAAATCAGAATTAAAAAATTAGATTTATATGAATGTGTTGCATAAAGTTGGGAAAACTCGGAAAAATATTGATTCAAAGTATACCGGAATTGCTCATGAATCTTCTTTCAAGTAGGCTTTGACATTAGTATGCATTTCCAAGTTTTTGAATGAAATTTTTCATCAACTTGCATTCTATTTTCATAAATCATGTGGTTCACCTCATGAGTTTAGAACATCCTCTTCTTAGAAAAAAGAGAGTGGAGTTTCACAAAATTGATATCAAACCGGTAGTTATTCAACTGCTTTGTGAATTTCAAAGGCCAAACCACAAAAATATATGTAATTATAGAAGTCCTTAACTTTCTGTATAGAAAATATGAATAGCCTTA